GTGTGTGTGTGTGTGTGTGTGTGTGTGTGTGTGTGTGTGTGTGTGTGCAACCACATATCAAGGAGGGTTTTCGGGGTTTTAAAGAGCATGTCAACCACTCGGCATCCTGAAGAGAGTTTACCTCCCGAGTGGATTTACTGCTAATCTACCCACAAGAACATCACCTGGTGGACGGACACACAAACACACACACACACAGGGTTGTTCCAGGATGGGTCTATTGATAGCACAGGGAGTCCCGCAGCAAACAGTAGTTAATTTTTCTTGTTATTTTCTCGTTGGATGTAAATTCATAGCCGAGCCTTTCAGAGTTTTTGGAGCTGTGTACTAGCGGAGCCGTTTATCATCTTCATTCTCTCTCTTGTCTGTTTTCTGTCATTGTAGTTTGTTTTGTTCACCCTATGGGTAGGCTATGTCACTCTTCTCTTAGAAGCACAACTATTATCACAAAGTCCTAGCGACTGTGATTTCTGAGGGTTTGAACAGTAGGGTCACACTTCACTGACGTTTATTTTTCTGTTTATGGATCCATTGTTATAACATTTTATATTTCAGAGCTATTTTACAGTTTGTTCAGGAGTTTGTGTAAGAAAGTGTTACTGTTGGCTGAATATCGGCACATTTACCGACAGCGAGCCGAGCGTCTCCGTGTCTTCTATTGGTTGGAAAAAAAAAAAAAAAAAAGAAGAAAAAAAAAGTGGGTTGATGAAATATATGTGATGAATTGCGACACTTCTCCTCTTTAGGTCACTTGTACTCCTTCTCTCCGGTTCTGTTGATATCACTGCCAGTGTTATCACTGTGGAAGGTGTTTTTGTTTCTTTTGGTGTGAGTTGGCGCCCCCTCCTGGTCTGCTGTGGTATGATAGCGACACCGCAGGACCCTTTTGGTGTTTCCACCGAACACAGACCTTCATTTCTCTCAGGCAAAAGGAGGGGCAGCTCCACCGGTGTGTATGCTTTTAAAAGAGGACGAGGATGCTGAGGGTGGTGGTGGGGACTTCTATGCTTGGGGGTCCTGAATGAATGGATGTGACACTTCCTTGCAGACCAGCAAACGTTTTTAAATTTCGACTAAATATATGCAAAAATTGGGAGTTGAAAAAGTAAAACAAAAAAAATGAGAAGACTTGATGTATTTTGCTAATAAAGTCTTGTTTATTGAAATGCTCCTATGATATTCTAGCTGAGACGTGTCACTCTCACCGGCCTTGATTTCACTGCGGCCTGACCTTTCAAACGTTACTGCAGCGGTTGTGAAAACGGTCGTTACGGATGCAATGAAACAACAAAAAAGAACTTTCCTGTCTTTTTAAAGAAGTTCAGCACTCCTGAGAACGGTCAGACGTCACTGCAGTGGAACACTTTGTCTCTCGATCCCCGGCAGCAGCTTCACAGTGGTGGCTATGGTGTAGTGAACATGTGGGCTGTGTGTAGCGAGCTCCTCTGTGTGTTACTATGTATTCACTATGTTTTTATCAAGAGGACTAACTGACTGTCTTTATATGCATAAACAGCCTCCTTTAACCTTTTCCATGTCTGTCTATTTACCCTTCTCATAGTACTGGGAGCAGGCTGCTTTTTTTTTTTTTTTTTTTATCGGATACGTGCTCAACCTGTTGGCATTATAACTGTATAATATAATTTATCATTTGTACTATTGTAACATACTGTTCCTCTGTATACCTTATTATTCTGTGTAATGGGTTTTTGTAGGAAAAGTCACCGTGGTATTTTAACGGCATCTAAACAACCGAACGCAGCGGGACGAGGACTGTAGCTGCAAAAATAAAATGTGTATCACTTCAGCTCCGTCACTCCAGTGTCTGCGTGCGTGTATTCCTTTGAAGCACATGTCCAGACAATGTACAAGGCTCAATGCATTCAAACACGAACAAGTCAGAGGTAGTGTATTTATTTTAAAAAGTACAAAATAGAGAAACTGAAAAATCTGAAAAGACATTACATGAAATCTAATTCAAATACATTTATTTTGGCTACAAACAAACTTGTTAAAGGACTCACTGTGTTCTGATTGGTCAGAGTCGGTTAACGTGTAACGTGTGTCGTGGAGGCTAAACATCCAAAATGCACCACTTATTTGTCTCTTAGTCTCTCGTGTTATTACACGATGTGCGGTTGTTCCTCTGTCGACCAGCCAGATGTGGCGGACGGTGTGTTGGCAGAACTCGATGGTCCGGTGTCGTAGCCCAGCTTCTTCATGTCTTTAGTGATGATGTGGAAGGAGACGGTGACGAAGCCCTGGGAACGAACCCGCGTCACTGCAACACACCAAGAAAGTAGGACAAGTTAACGTTTAACTACGTGAACAGATAGAAACTATTTCAACCTGATAATGTACCGTTGGTACTATCTTTGTAGCAGATATATACATTATCATCTACTCATCCATAGCTATTTATTAGAGGTCTCTGCTTTCAGACCACCACTACAGGTATTTCTATAATACTGGTCCAAATTAGCTTACAAGTAACCCATCTTCTTATGAGTGACTCATTTTAAAAATGTCTGCTTCAAGGAGTTTGTTTTATTTGTGTTTCAAATCTCGATTGTGTTTCTCCGAGGAGCCGAGATCTCCTGTTTGAACTTGTAAGTCACTGTTAACAATGTAAACATAATTAATACAGACGGAGAAATGCACAACAAACCTTCTCTGCCTTCTCCCTGGGCCACTACTTTAGGGTCTGTGTACTCAGGCCGCCGCCCCAACAGCCAGCTACACAAGAGAGAGAGACGTGTTAGTCCTATAGTGTTAATGTTTGTGTGAGTACAACTAGGAAGAGTGCATCCCACATCAACTTGTAACACTTTCACAGATCAAATACAACATCTGCTCCCAATGTTGATATCTAAATTGCAAATCCAAAGGTCCAGATGTGCACCTTTGCCTCTCTAATAGCCTGCTGTGTTGGTGGGAGTCGAAAGGAGCCGTGAATACCTTTTTGTGTGTGCGTGTATCACCAATGTGCAGAACTAAGACTGAATCCCGAGTAAGACTCAGTAAATATTTGCTAATGCTCAGATACTGGCTGCTTCCCCCCAGCAGGCACAGCTCATCAGCTGCAGCACCACAGCTGCTGTGATAGAAACCAGAAAAGTGAACACAAACAAACACACGACTGTCCACACATCGTACCTCGTGAATTTCTGAAGTCTCCATGTGGGCTCAGGGACAAACATGGGGATGGTCCGTGTGTGTCTGAGAAATAAAATGACAGATTCCTCTCAGACGGACAGTAAACAAGAGTCACGTTAATGCAAGAAATAGTCTGACTCAAATGTGTCTTGGGTCTGCGTCCGTTAAAAAAAAGAAGATAAAGATAAATGGTGAAGGTAATACTGACTGTCCAGGTGTGAAGGGGATGTGTGTTGCTCCATAGCCTCTGACCACGTCGTTGCCAAACACATCTGGACCGTACACACTCACCACCAGCTGAGGCCCTGGGGAATAAAAGTGAAGTCATATATTCAGAGTGTAATTTATACATAATATGATTTCTGTGTGGTATGTACGTGCATGTGTGTGTCTCACATCCAGAGGGGTTCGTGCTCTTAAACGTTGTCTCCAGTGGGAAGTTCCATATTAACGTGTGTGAAGACTGACTGCCTTTACATGTGATTTGAGTGATGCCTTCCTCCAACCCCTGCAGAGAAACAGAGTCACAGGAGTTAGCTGTTATTTAAAAAGATTGTATGCATGTGGGAAAAGGTTCTGTGTTGTCTGGACAAAATTAAAAGTGTTTTTCAATCTATAATTCTGAGATAATAAGTACTTTGTTGCTCTGCAGAGGAGCTTCTACATGCATGCAAGTTAAAGTAGACTTTAAACTTGAGAATACTACAGTGACTCTGAACATAACCATTCGTCATATAAAGAAGCCTCTGCTCACCGAGGTGGGAGCCCAGTCGTGTCCGTAGACAAAACAATATTTGCAGTACAAGTTGTCGTACTCTGGAAACTGAAACAAAAAACAATGCATTTATATGGTTGCTAAATTAGCTGCTATATGGCTAAATTAGCTGCTAGGCTAACACTCACGTTTGCTCCCTCAATCTGTCCGTTAACCGTTAGAAGAAACACGGACGGGTTGCTCGTAGCCATCGCGACTTCCGTCGGCACCCTGGAGATTTAAGTTGTCTTTATGGAGCAAATTGAACCCAGTTTAGAAGAATCCTGACAGCAAACAACCCAAACCCTATCTGTTGCTAGGGCGACGGCTGCAGCTCCCTACGGCTCCCTGCGAGGCTCATATCGAACGGAACGCACCGAAGCGGTTAGCGAAGTAATCCACAAGATGGCAACAGTGTAGCAAGTAACCACAACCCACGCTGTTCAGGGTTCAGTCGTACCTGAAGCAAATGATGCCTCCACCTGGACCGGAAGCTAACGTCTACACGGTGAACATCATTGTTACAGATGGCTACTTAAATCAAAACCAACGTGAGTTCAGATAGAAACGTCATGCGAGCTCTTTATTAATCAAATTGCATGACAACGGAGCAGAAGGCCACGGAATGTGGTTGAAAGCTTCAGAAACAACACGTAAGTAGACCTTATGTTGAGGTGTTCTGTCATGCAATGATAGGAGAGGTAACAGTTGGCTAACACTGAAAATAAGACACTTTCTTTACTGTTGACAGTCTCTTTGCTGCTTCTGTCACATGCAACTCAATCATGTTATCATACAAAGTTTTGAATTTATAAAGATGACATAATATTTTTATTTGCAACTAATATTTGCATCTTCACTAGTATGACACTCAAAGCTACACATATCCTCAAGTCCCCAAAATAACCAGACTCAATAATTAAAATAAAGTTAAATAAACTAGATGTACTTTAACAACTTTGCAGTATAACTCTGTCCAATGCTGTGAACCATTGAGGAGAACCAGGAAGAGTTGGTGTTTTTATATTCCCCCACCACATTTGTACCCACAGTATCTTTGAGACATCTTTGTGAGCTGCTCTGTAGAAAACAATAATTACAGTAGACCACGTGTGATGTCCCACAAGGCCCACCACCGCCCTGCTGAGAGGAGGGAGGTCTCGTATAAAGGAAGCTCTAAATACACTTAAGGGTGATTAGTACGCTAAGTATCCATTTACTGCCTTTGTTCGGATAATTATGTTTTAGAAATCAACTGTTTCTACCAGCTCTGTCACACACACACACACACACACACACACACACCAGTAATCCCCCCGCCTGCTACCCCACCTCTCTGTCCCGCTGTCACACAGACCCCCCCCCCCCCCCCCGAGTCTCTGACCTTTTACTTCTGCCCAAACAGCAGCTCTCTTTCCGTCCTCCATCTTTTTTAACTACGCTGCTCATTTGCTTCCTCAAAGCTTGTGACGTTATTATTTTTTTAGCCCCGTCTCTCCCATCTTGACTCGTCCTCTCCTTCCACAATAAAGTCAGGGAAGAAATTACTTATTAGTATTATTAATAAACAGGCCACCAACATCCAGCCATCCTAAAGTCTCAGTGTCTCAGAGATATTCATGTAAATATTCCATAATAAGTGTGATTATGACACTTCTCCTCTCACTGATTCTTTACTCCTTCCTCCATCTTGTCCTTTCACCCCCTTTTGACTCCCTCAGCTCCCCCCCTCTCTCTCATCTCTTTCCTCCCCCCCCCCCCCATCTCTCCACTACCACCCCGTCACTTTTCATCTCCATCCCACCATCTCCCTCTCTCCCACCCAGCACTTCACCGGCCCCTCCCCTTCCCTTCCTCTCCACCTGCCAATTTAGTGTCTTTTTGTTTCTCGAATCCCCCCCCCCCGTCCCGTTTTCATCTTCACTCGCCTCCCTTTTTCTTTTTTTCTCCTCTCGCCAGCATCTCCCGCCTCTTTCTCCCCAACGTCCTGGCTATTTTCTCTTCTTCTCATCCTCCTCCTCCTCACAACCGGCTCCCCGTCTCCTTCTCCTCATTTAATATTGTAACATTCCTCCCTCTTTATTCCTCTCCTATCTCCTTCTTATTCACTCGTCTCATCTCCTCCTCCCACGTCCTTCCTGTCCCTCTTTTTTTTTTCCCCCCCTCTCTATTTTCTGACCCCCTTTTTAGTTTCCTCTTCCGTCTCCGTGGCCCTGCTTCTCTCTGCCAAACGCCTGATTAGAGTCAGGCAGCCTCACGACTCACGGCCCATTTAAAGCCGCTCGAGAGCGGCCGGTCCAAAAGCGGTCATCTGGGATCTCATTTTCTCTGGACTTGTTTTTACCTGAAAACTCACACAAATCATGAAAACTTGTTTCCAAACAGAAGCCCACAAATCAGGCGTCATCCCGTCAAATGTTACATCTTATCTTCCTGTCTGGATGCTTATGGGAGGCAGAAAACACTTAATGGGATTCTTTGTTAATCACTGAACATGAGAACACACTTCAGTGCCCTTCACAGCTCCCTGTGTGATTGAAAGAGACACTACATGTGTCCTATGTTATGTCATTCTTATGGAGATATTATTATTTCCTCTGTCGCAGAGCTCATAAGGATCTCGTTGTGCTGGAGGCGGCGGCTTCTTGGAGAAGACGTCTCGCTGAAGTGTCCTTCACAGGTGTCTCCTGGGTAAGTGATTCACCAAGAACACATACTCCGCTCATACACAGAGTCACAAGACATTATGTATGACAAGTATCATTCTGTGAGTCATATTTATCTAGTTTACAAATGGCTGGACACACACACACACACACACACACACAGAGAATAGGCTTGCTAGAAGTGAGATGAGCTGATGTAGGTTAATGTCCCAAACTGTGTGTGACTAACGGTCCGTGAGCACTGGTTCACAGATCTGTGCTCCGAAGAGAAAACCCCGACACTTAACCTGCAGACGGAGTCAGCTGGGGAATAAATAACAACATTAGGGACGCGGAAGAAGCGTAAGAGCGACAGATGAAGTACGGAAAGTGTTTTTCACGAAACTATTAGTCTGTTTGTAAACTGGCAGAAAAGGAGGTGTCACTCTCAGGACTGCACTTGATTGACATTTTCCTCACGCTCCTTTTCGCTTTGTTGCATCTGTTGGGTGGAAATGATCAAATGATTGAAGGCTGAATGCCCTGAAGCTGCTTCAGTTTCATAGCTCTGGTACTGTGTGTGCCGGCCCACTATCACACTGGATTACTAAACTGATTGCAGCCAGGCGGCAACCTCCGGTTCTGACTAGTGAAGCCAATGCAGAAGTGTCTCAAACCTGCATTATCTCTAATGACCACCAGGGGGCGACTCCTCTGGTTGTATAGAAGTCTATGAGAAAATGACTCTACTTCTCTCTTGATTTATTACCTCAGTAAACATTGTAAACATGAGTTTATGGTCTCAATCTCTAGTTTCAAGTCTTCTTCAAAACAGCATGATGTTCATTTAGTACATTATGGTCCATTTAGAGTCAAACAGACCATAAAGCAGGGGATGCTTTAGGGCGGGGCTTACAGTGATTGACAGGTTGCTGCCATTACCAGAGCTGTATACGACTTCTCTACGTCACTCCTCCACACTCCTAATATGGTCACTTCCGTTCGTTGGTTGCAAAAAGAAAGATGGTGACGAACAACAAACTACGTCCACTTCTTATATACGGTCTATGATCGCAGCGCCAGAAGGAATTATGATGAGCAGAAATATTCCCTGAGCATCGCATTGCTGCTGATGCCAACATGCTGTTTCTGTTTTCTAGCTTTAGAAATACACTACTGAACTAAACTCAACTTCTATTGAAGCGGTCCTTTTAATTCCACAGCAGCCGGTCTCCGGGGCTTTATGAGGACAACTATCTGTGTAATGACACCTGCAACAGTTGAGACATTCAGCCTGTCTCATAAAAAAAACCAAACTGTCTGTTGCAACCCTTCACACTCAGTTTAATGAGCTGGTCCTCTGGCTGTCTCCTCTGTGGAGCCTCTCTCTCTCTCTCTCTCTGTCTGTCTCTCTCTCTGTCTCCTCTCTCTCTCTCTCTCTCTCTCTCTCTCTGTCTCCCCTCTCTCTCTCTCTCTCTCTATCTGCCTCTCTCTGCCTCTCTCTGCCTCTCTCTCTGTTTCTTGCTAAACTGTCTGCAGAAGTTTCTTGTCCAAGTCGTCTTCTTGTCTGCCTAACCTGGACGGCTTTCTATTGGGCTGAATACAGTCGGGTGTGTGTGTGTGTGTGTGTGTGTGTGTGTGTGTGTGTGTGTGTGTGCGTGGCCCAGTTTGAATCTCTCTTTCCCTCTGGGAGAGGCACCAAAACTCCACATCATATTTTTAAACCGATCTCTCCCCACATGTCTCTCTGCCTCTCGATCCCTCAGAGTCCTCTTGGCTCCCAGGGGCCCATCTGTCCAGAACCAGGCTGGTCTTGTTTTGACTGTCGTGATCGTTCGATGCTTCTCCAGTAAAGAACAGAATTAATTCGCTCTCAATTCAACACGTTTTAGCCTTTTAAAGGAATGCGTTCGACATTTCAGGAAATGATCACACATTACTTATTTGCTGAGAGTTGGATGAAAAGATCAATACCGATGTAATATCCGACCACTAAATATGAATCTACAGACAGCAGGCAGCTAGCTTAGCTTAGCATGAAGGCTGGAAACAGCTAGCCTGTAACCAAATCCGCCTGCTAGCACCTTAAATCTCCCAAATCAGCACGTTATATCTTGTTTAATCCACAGGAACCTGAAGTATGAACTGCTTTTATGGGGTTATTTCTCACTGCCTGTAGGTCTGACTTTGTGCACTCTGTTATTGTTATCACTGCTCCAAGCTGCCATTTCTCACCAGAATATGTGTCGTGTTCAGAGCTAGTCAGAGCCTTTATTTTCCCCCAAAGTTTTTTTTTTTTTTACTTGTTTCATTGTTTCCCGACGGGATACTGAAAGTCCATTCCACATATGAGCTGTCGAGACTTTGTGGATATGAGTTTTCTTCCCTCAGCTGCACTCTCATCTTTGATCGTTAGTAAACAGGAAACCCATCTATAGTCGTCTTTGCTTCTTGAGTGGATAAAACAACGTCCGTTTTCTAATCACCAGGCCGCCCTGCTTCACCACAAATCTCAATATGCATTAAGCGGACGTTAAAAATCAGCTATTAAGGGCTCGGTGAGTACGCGGCTGGTGAGAGAGGCACCGACGTTTCCCGGGCGGCATCGACCTCCTCTTCCTGCTCTGAGAGCTTCTCCTGCCCGCAGGCCGCCACCCACCACTGTAACCTCCACAG